AAAGTTCAGAAAGGTTTGTAATGCTGTGGGCCTAAGGTGATAGACACATTAAGTGTGTGAGTATAAATTGGTATTACCTCTTTAGAGAGCATTTGGCATTATAGGTTAAACTGTAAAATCCACATACCCTTAGATCCACCAAGTCCACTCCTAGGAATTTATCCTATACGTATATACAAGTGCACAAAGAAGTACGTATAAACATATTTACTATAGTGAAAGATTGGTAGCAACTTAAATATCTGTCAGAGAGGGCTAAAAGATGGTGTAGCCATGCAGTGCAGCAGCCATGCTGTCTAGCTGTAGAAAGAATGAAGCAGCTTCAGAAGCACTGTATGAATAAGGCAAATGTCTAATAATACACATTTTTAACGGGAAAGAGCACAGTGTTGAACAGTACATAGTGGAGCAAAACTTGTTTTTCAGGAGAATATGGGTGTGAAGAAAGAATATTGGATGTGTTAACTGAAAATTCATTAAGTTGAACATACATGATTTGTGTACTTTTCTATGTATATAACCTATGTATTAAAAGTTTCTGAAAAGAGTGGGAAAAATTCCAAACAAGGAAAAATAATACATACACATATATGCTTACAAAAGAAAATGTTTCTAGAAGGTATACAAGAAACTTAAGGGGCCCTGGTGGTGCAGTGGTTAAATGCTCAGCTACTAACCAAAAGGTGCTTTGGACCCACCAGATGCTCCATGGGAGATAAGACCTGGTGAGTAGCTCCCAGAAGGACTTTAGCCTACTAAGCCCTGTGGAGTTTTTTTGTCCTTCAGGGTCACTGTGAGGCAGAATCAACTCTACAGGATACAACAGCAGCATACACAAAGCTGGTAACCGTGACTGCCAACAGGAAGGCGCATTGGAGGATAAAGGTAGACAAAGGCTTTGTACTTCTTCCTGTGTATATTACCTGTTTAACAAATTAAAGAAATACTTCAATTACCTGTGGAGAATTTATGCTATGTAGGATCTACGAATATATATGTGCATAAAACCCACTGCTGTCAAGTCAATTCCAACCTATAGTGACCCAATACAACAGCGTAGAACTGCATATGGTTTCCAAGGCTGTAAATCTTTATGGAAGCAGACTGTTACATCTTTCTCCCATGAAGTGTCTGATTGCTTTGAACCACTGACCTGTTAGCAGCCCAGTGCTTGACCACTGTACCACCATATGAAAAGACAGGGTACAAATTTGTTATAGGATTCCAACTAAATATATTTTTAAACATGTTACAAAAGTTAGAGTGAGAGGTTATATAAACTTAGATGTTAACAGGTTTTTTCAGGTCATGGAACTGTATTTTTTTTTTCTTTCTCGTTTTCTGTATTTTCCAAGTTTTCTATAATGAGTTTGTAATGTTTTTCTATACAAAATCTATCCAGAAATATGAGCTGTTAAAAAAATGTGTGGTAGAACAGACAGACACTTCATCACAGAGGACATTCAAACACATGAGAAAATGCTCGCAAATCATTAGCCATTAGAGAAATGCACATCAGAACTACCATGAGATACCATCTGACCCCTGTACAAATGACACTGATCTGAAAAACATAAAACAAATGCTAGTGAGTTTGTAGGGAGATTGGAACTCTTACACACTACCGATGGGATTTTAAAATGGTATTGACATTATGGAAAACAGTATAGTGCTTGCTCAAAAACCTAAAAACAGAAATATTTTATGATCCAGCAGTTCCATCCTTAGGTATATATCCAAGAGCAGTGACATGAATAGATATATGCACATCCATGTTCATTGAAGCTGTATTCACAATAGCAAAACAATAGGCACAATCTAAGTGTCCAGCAATGGATGAATGGATAAACTATGATACATAACATACAATGGAATACTATACAACTATGAAGAATAATGATGAGTTCTTGAAACACCTTATAACATGGAAGAATCTGGAGGAAATTATATTGAGTGAAACAAATCAATCACAAAAGAACAAATACTGTATGTTCTACACTGTAGTGATACTGCCTCGGAAACCCAAGGAGGGGTCACTATGAGTTGAGTCCGATTCAACAACACATAACAACAACAACAACTATTTAAAAGTCAAGAATAAGTATACATATAGAAACCAAAAGGATATACCCTGAAAAGTGAGTTTTCCTTTCATACCTGGTAACCCATTTCTGAAAAGTGAGTTTTCCTTTCATACCTGGTAACCCATTTAGAGGTTCTTCTTCTTCTTCCTTTATTTTTTTTTCTTTTTAACAAGCAAATCTTGGTTCACAGGTTACCAGGGATGGGAGGGGGATAAAAAGGGAATCAATTTTCTAGATAGTAAATGCTTTCTGTTTTTGGTAATAGGAAGGGCAGTACCCAATATGGGTGAAGTCTGTACAGTTTCACCAAAGTAAATGAAGACAATAAAAAGTAGCAAGAAAAAAGGACAATTTTGGTAAATGTTATTAACAATTTTGCAACAACAGTAATAACAACCAAAAAAAAAGTGTGTGGTTACATAATGCAGATATGTGTCTAAAAAGGCTTATGTGAGTACATGCACAAGCATGTATAAGTGTATCAGTGGGCATATATGTATGTATATGTCTGTGTGTGCTGCATATATATTCATATATATGTATATAAAATACCAAAAAAGATACTTACTTATGTTTTATTAGCTATGCAAAAGCATTCGATTGTGTGGATCATAACAAGTTACAGATAACATTGAATGGGAATTCCAGAACATTTAATTGTGCTCGTGAGGAACCTGTACATAGATCAGAAGGCTGTCGTTTGAACAGAACAAGGAGATACTGAATGGTTCAAAATCAAGAAGGGAGTGCGTCAAGATTGTACTCTTTCACCATACTTAATCAGCTTGTATGCTGAGCAAATAATCTGATAAACTGGATTATATGAAGAAGAACATGGCATCGGAACTGGAGGAAGACTCATTAACAACCTGCAATATGCAGATGACACAACTTTGCTTGCTGAAGGTGAGGATGACTTGAAGCACTTACTAATGAAAATTAAAGACTATAGTCTGCAGTGTGGATTACACCTCAATATAAAGAAAACGAAAATCCTCACAACTGGTCCAATAAACAGCTTTAGGATAAATGGAGAAAAGATTGAAGTTGTCAAGGATTACATATTACTTGGTTCTACAATCTACACCAATGGAAGCAGCAGTCAGGATATCAGATGTTGTATACAGCATTGGGCAAAACTGCAAAGGACAGTGCTGAAGAGCAAAGATGTCTCCTCGAAGACTGAGGTGTGCGTAACCCAAGCCATGGTATTTTGAATCACCTCTTAGGCAAGTGAGAGCTGGACAATGAATAAGGAAGACTGAAGAACAGTTGATGCTTTTGAGTTGTAGTGCTGGAAAAGAATGCTAAGAGTACCATGGTCTGCTAAAAGGACTAACAAATCTGTCCTGGAAGAAGTACAGCCAGAATACTTCTTGGAACTGAGAATGGCCAGACTTTGTCTTACCTACTTTGGTCATGTTGTCAGAAGGAGCCATTCCCTGGAGAAGGATATCATGCTTGGTAAAGTGGAGCATTCGTAAATACAATGTTCTGTGTCCTAGTTTAGTGAACATCTGCATATTGCAGGTTGTTCAACGAAGAAGGGGAAGGCCCTCAACGAGATGGATTGACACAGTGGCTGCAGCGATGGGCTCAGTTACAGCAAGGATCATGAGGCTGGCACAGGACCGGGCAGTGTTTCGTTCTGCTGTGCACAGGGTCGCTGTGAGTCAGAGACGACTTGACAGCACCTAACAACAACATAAAATAAAGTACATGGAAGGCAGTCACAGAGACTTCCTAGATATATCCAAACACCTCACAGGATTAGTTTTCTGGGTTAAAAGGCTTACAACCATAGTCTGGAGGGATATTCGGTCAACTAGCATAACGTAGTTCGTAAATACAATGTTCTGTGTCCTAGTTTAGTGAACAGCGTCTGGGGTCTTAAAAGCTTGCAAGTGGCCATTTAAGGTACAACTCCTTATCTGGAACAAAAGAGAAGGAAGGAAACCAAAGACTCAAGTATAGAAACTAATCCACGGGAGTAATAGCCTACACCAACTATAGCCTCTTCTAGCTTGAGACACAGAAGAGCTCTGTGGTACCTAGCTACCAGTACCAACTGTTCTGACCTGGAACACAATAGAAGGTCCCAGACAGGATGGGAGAAAAATGTTGAACAAAATTTGAATTCCTGAAAAAGGCCAGACTTAACTGGACCAATAGTGACTAGAGGAACCTCTGAGACTATTGCCCTAAGATACCTTTTGAACTTGGAACTAAAGTTACTACTGGAGATCACCTTTCAACCAAATAATAGATTGGCTTACAAAATAATGTCACCTGTGAGTAATGTGCTCCCTTAAATAATCAGTTATATGAGACCACATGCTCAACATTTACTCAGAAGCCAGGAGGGGAAGGAGAAGCTAGATCAGTGGAAATAATGAGAATGCTGACACATTGTAAAAATTGTAACCAGTGTCATGTAACAGTCTGTATAAAAATTGTTAAATGAGAACATAATTTGCTGTGTAAAACTTTCACTTAAAGTGCAATAAAAAAATTTTTTTAATGCCGAGTAACATTCTTTGTATTTATAAATTACACTCTGCCACCATCCTCTTTCTCATCCCCACCCCAGAAAAGTGGAAATACTTCATAGAAAATTCCAGTCGTCATTATTTTCATTCATCAATATATAAGTAACAGGAGACATTGGGTGTATACAGTGTGGTCCAGGTCCTTCATTTTGAGAAGAGCCAGTTTGCCTCCATTTTGCTGGCAGAGCAGGCTGGTAGGAAATCAGTTGCAGGCCCACCCACCTGCTGTGGTGCCTTTGTTTTTCAGTGGCCATAACTGGTTTAGTCTTGTTTCAAGCTGTCTTTTTCTGTAGTAAGATGTCCTAGATTGTTTTATCACTATTTCATGATCCTCTATCTACACTTCACCTGTTTTTGTTTTGTTTAGAATAACTGCTCAAAGACTTGCCCATTTGAACAAGTGCTTGATGAACTTTAAGCTTGGGAATTTCAGTTATCAGAAAAACCCTCTGAAACTGGGAGAGCTTCAAGGAAATCAGTTCACTGTTGTTCTCAGGTAAAGAACTATATAGGTCAGAAGGACCCCAGTGAGGGTCTCACTGGGTCCTCTTGACTTCATTCATTACAGTTGTTAAGAAGGCCCGGGTCTGACCTGGTACTAATAGACATGGCGGTCAGGAAAAGCAGGGAAGCAAACACTTGTGTAGCTTTTATACTGGACCCCGCGCCATCCTGAAACCCAGCACAACCTGTGGAATGAAGCCACCTCCCTGAAACACTGTGCTTAAGAGAAAGAGCACTCAGGACACACAAAGCTGCAGAGGATGATGGGAAGGGAATCTACATCAGTCATTTGTGCTGCATATCCCTAAGTTGTTTGTACGTATTTTTCTTTCTGGGTTATTTGGACCTGCACAGAAATATAACAGGAACTGATGAGCAAGTACAACAAGCCATGCTCTCTCTCAAGGAGATTGGATTTATTAACTACTATGGAATGCAGAGATTTGGAACTACAGCTGTCCCTACATACCAAGTTGGAAGGTTTGTATTTAATTTTTTAACTTGTATCAAAATGACCTCTCTTATAAAAAAAGTAGTTCTATTTTTAGTTTTTTGAGGCACCTTCACACTTTTCCACCGTGGCTGCACCATTTTGCATTCCCACCAGTAATGGGTGTGGTTCTGGTTCCGTTGTTCCAGTTTCCTCACACCCATGTCAACATTTGTTATTTTCTTTTTTAAATCTTAGCCATCCTAGTGGGAGTGAAATGGTATTTCATTGTGGTTTTGATTTGCATCTTTCTGATGGCTGATGATCGTGAGCATCTTTTCCTGTGTTTGGTGGACGTTTGAATGTCCTCTTTGATGAAATGGCCATTCAAATACTTTGCCCGTTTTATGATTAGGTTATTTGTCTTTTATTTGGCAAATAAGGTTAATGATTGCCTTATAAAATAATATCACCTGGAATTCCCTGCTTCTTTAAATTAATCAGCTATATAAGACAAAACGGTTGACATTTACCCTAAAAGAAAGGTGAGAAGCTAAGGAAGGGCAGAGAAGCTAGGTTAATGGAAACGGAACACAAAAGAATAGAAATAATGAGAATGTTGACATACTGTGAGAAATGTAAGCAGTGTTTTGGAAGAAGTTTTATAAAAATGGTTAAATGGAAACCTAATTTGCTGTAATGTAAACTTCAAACACAATAAACTTATAAAAAAGAAGAAGAATAGAGGATAAAACTATTTATTCTATTTTCCTAGGCAAGAAAGTATTTAAGATGGGGGGAAGAAATTGAGAAGTTTCAAAAAAAAACATGGCACGTAAAGATATAGCTTTGATTTATGCAGATACCATGCCTAGCAGCTTACAGCATGACTGGGTAGTGTATACTAGTACAACTTTTAAAACTAAAATGATACTTAGATGTTATAAGTAAGCATTATTTTATGGTCTAAGTTTACTAAAAAATATAAACTTAATATGATTTGTTGATGCTACAAAGATTTGGACATAATTAAATTCATCTTAATGCAAAATTAAGTAAATTAAATGCTGTGTTTGATTTTAGAGCTATACTACAGAATTCCTGGGCTGAAGTCATGGATTTAATATTGAAACCCCGTTCTGGAGGTGAGAATAAAATTCATGTTAAGGAAAAAAAGCACAAGAGAGTGTGCGAGCGAGCGAGCTAGATATTCATGAAATTACTTTGAATAAAAGTACATGGCAAATTGGGATATAGTTATTTCTGAATTTTCTTTGTTTTTACAATCAAATGAGAAGTATAATTTATTTCTTTGTATTTTGTCAGCTTTTATGTATATATTAGAGATTTGTAATCTGTATTCTGTTTTTAACTCTTTAACTCATCTGATTTATGAAATGAATAAAAATAATCCTTTTCTCCCTACACTACTGAATCTCAGAAAGTATAGAAATCCAAACGGATTCCACTTTGGTTTTCTTGCTAAAGTGTGGTGTAATTGATTATAAAAACATGGAAAAACAGCTTAAGGATTTTTAGTTCAGAGAGTTTACTAATACATTTACGAGAAAGTATGTCTGAAATCTTACGGTATGAAAAAGGATTTGATGGGTACTTTATAAATTGTAAACATAATTATAACCACTTTGGGTAATTGTTCATTTGCTAACTTAAAAGAGATAAAAGTGTCTAATTTTCAGAAAAGTGACTCATTAAGTTTGGCACATAGTAGGGGAGAAGAAAGTAAAGACAGAGAGGACTGTGTACCATTTGTCTCATGATTAGTCAACTATGACAATGAGCATTAATTGACTTTCAATCCTAGATTGGGTAGCACACAGCCATATAGTTCTATAAACTTCCTAGGTTTTCTATCTTTTCACTTCCTAACTGCTGCTCTGAGGTGAACAAAAGGTCTTCATTTCACCTATATGAAGTTGGTATTTTCCGTTTTTGTCTCCTCTTTAAAGCATATTAAGTTATAGAAGTCTGTCTGTTGGATACGTTATTTAATCAGCCTTTTTTTTCTTCCCAGCTGAAAAGGGGTATTTGGTCAAGTGCAGGGAAGAATGGGCGAAGACCAAAGACCCAGCTGCTGCCCTCAGAAAGCTACCTGTCAAAAGGTGTGTGGAAGGGCAGCTGCTTCGAGGACTTTCCAAATTTGGAATGAAGAATATAGTCTCTGCATTTGGCATAGTGAGTGCGCTTTGTGAAGTCAGGCCATGGCTCGAGGTGGCTTAATGCTTTTTAAATTTTATCTTTAAAGATTTTACTGAATTTTAGAAGAACAAATTATATATAAGTAAGAATCCTTTGGTGATCTGTGAGAGATGTTTTTGTCTGAGTGATCCTTGTTCAGATCCTGAACGGTGAGGTGGGGATAGGGGAGGAGAAGGGCATGAAGAAAACATTCCATCTACAATTTAATTGAAATTAAATGTCTTGGTACCCATTAAAGAGGCATTTCCTAATCATTCTTTGTCATCAAAACAGTATATAGGCATTCCCTGGATTTTGAACAACTTCTGTTCTAAGTCTCTCTTTTTTAAGTTGAATTTGTATTTGAGTTAGAAAAGTGTCTAAAGGCAGTTATTAGTCAGATGTTTGTCTAGTATATATAATACACTAAGACAGTAAATGAAGAGAATCAAAGTCTCATGGAAATAGTCTAAGGGACTAGTAGACCATGCAAACCTCAGCCTACATATGTAACCCTGAGACCAGAAGAACTGGATGGTGCCTGGCTACCACTGTCAACCACTTGGAAAGGTATCAGAATAGGAGATTCTGGATAGAGTGGGAGAAAAAAGTAGACCAAAACTTAAAATCTTTAAAAAGACCAGGTTTACTGGTCTAATAGAGAGTGGTGAAACCCCTGAGACTGAGACTATGGCTCTTAGTTACCTTTCAGGACTGGAATCAAACTCACTTCCATGGCTTCCAGCCAAACAGTAGACAGACCTACAAAGTGAACAGTTACACTAGGTAGGTACACTCCTTAGAGCAGTCAACCATGGGAGATCAGAAGGGCAGCCTTTGCCCGAGGAGATAGCTCAGAGGGCCGGCACACATAGGAAAGAAGGACACAAAGAAAAGGTAACCAAAGAGAGGAAGTGGAAAGAGAACTTTTACATTGTGGGGATTGTAATCAGTGTCATGAAACAAAATGTGTGTGAATTATTGAATGGAAAATGAATTTGCTCTCTAAACTTTCACCCAAATCACAATAAAAAAGGAAAGAAACACTTTCAGATACACTAAAACATCTTTAATAATACAGTAAGAGTAAGTGTTTTGATACACATCTCAAAGTGTAACACCCATTTATTATTACAAACCATTGTATGTACCTCAAATCTTTAATATAATAGGCTTTAGGAGAGTTGGTTTGTAACTACAGATGGTACGTAGGTCAGACGTTTGTAACCCGGGGACTGCCTTACTGCCTTTTAAGGGGGTTGAGCATAAGCAAGCTAAATAGTTGGATTTTAGTCTGGTTTCTGCATGGCAGTTAAAGAGTGGGGAGCATCTATGTATTTAAATAACAGTAATCCAGAATTGGTTAGTTTAACCCTTAAACTTAAGTCTTACTTACTCTTCCCAGATGTAAACAAAACAGCAGGATTCTTGCTGCATGAAATTAGTTGTCAGTTCAATCATTTAGGTTTTCTCCTTTCTTAGAATTAGGGGAAATAAAGCACTATTAGCTCTGATTTGTAAATTCCTTAGTTTGAAATCTGTCCCTTATTCAGGCTGTAAATTTCATAGCATTTGCTTTGTATTTGAATGAGTTTGTTCAGTACGGAAAAAAGCAGGACCTGTTGTAGCTCCTGGTGATAGCTAACACCCTTTTAGTCTGTGTGGTTCTTTCTCTGAAATTGGACACTGCATATCAGTCATCTTTTTGTAAAAGCTGTTAGGAAAATGGCAGATGTAAAGTGAGTTTCCTGTATGAGAATTATTACGAAGCATGCAAGATGTTTTGGAAAGTACAGTAGTTTTTATATTCAGAATACATATTTATATATTTTCTTGCTTTTTTTTTTTTTTTTTTCGCTTCCCTCCAGATACCAAGAAATAACCGCTTAATGTATATCCATAGTTACCAAAGTTATGTGTGGAATAACATGGTGAGCAAGAGGATAGAGGAGTATGGGCTGAAGCCTGTTCCAGGGGACCTTGTTCTGAAAGGAGGTAAAAAGGCGTAGTATCATCTTTATCCTGCCAAACTAGGACACAGTTATGTGTTATCACTCACTGCCGCTGAGTCAGATCCAACTCAGCAACCCCTCCTTGGGTTTCTGAGGCAGAATCACTACAGAAGTAGATCACCCAGTCTTCCTTCCAAGGAGTAGCTGGTGGGTTTGAACCTCCAGCCTTCTGGTTAGCAGTCAGATGCCTCAGGCACTACCCCACCAGAGCTCCATATTTGTCACTTGTGTTGTTGTTGTTATGTGCCGTTGAGTCGGACCCAACTCATAGCGACCCCTCCTTGGGTTTCCAAGGCAGTATCGCTACGGAAGTAGATTGCCCCATCTTCCTTCCGAGGAGTGGCTGGTGGGTTTGAACCACCAGCCTTCTGGTTAGCAGTCAAGTGCCTTAGGCACTATGCTACCAGAGCTCCCTATTTGTCACTAGTGGTGTTAAAATCCAACCTGGCTACTAGTTAATAAAAAAAAAGATGTGTGAGCTGAAAGGGGGTGTAAGTTCAGAATGCCTGGTTTGTATCTTTAATTTAAAAAATGATATGCATCTTCTCTGAGTAAGATTCTTGGGCTTCAGTTTTCTCAACTAAAATAGGATCTGGACTAAATGATGGTATATTGGTTTCATAGGGCTTCCGTAGCAAAATACCATAAACTGGGTGGCCTATGAGAACAGAAAATTATTGTCTCATAGTTCTGGAGGCTAGAAGTCTGGATCCAGGTGTTGGCCTACATCTTCTCGGCCATGTTTTCTCAGGTTCTAGGGGAAGATCCTTTATTGTATCTCTAGCTTTTGGTAACCCCAGGCCATCCTTGGCTTGTACTGCATCTCCACATGGCTGCCTTTTGTTTGTGTTTCTTTTGTAAGGACTAAGATTGGATTAGGACCCACCCTGTTCTAGTGTGACCTCATTAACTGATAACATCATCAAAGACCCTATTTCCAAATAGGGTCCCATTCACAGATAGCAGAGGTTAGGACTTCACTGTGCCTTTTTGGGGTACACATCCATAACAGACAGCTAAAATCCCTTTCAGTGCACACAGATAGCAGAGGTTAGGAATTCAGTGTACCTTTTTGTGGGACACATCCATAACGGACGGCTAAAATTCCTTTCCATGCACTGATTTGAGTCCTGGGACTACACTTTTGGAGCCTCAGTCTCTTCAGCATGTTGGCCGGTGTTAGAGTTTAAGTCGACACCAGGCAGGAGCACACTTTGCATGTGGGCCATGATCTAATGAGCATTTGTTGATTGCGTACTTTGTGCCAGAGATGGTCATAAACTAGCACTGAAAGTCCCATCTGCTGTTGAGCCCTTACTGTGTGCCAGACATTGTGTTAAGCTGTTTACCTACATCTTCTAGTTTGAAGCTCACAATGTTACTCTGAAGTAAGTATTCCCTGTTTTTAGATGAGATGCAATAACTTGTTCAGGGTTCCACAGCTGGTTAAGAAACTAATGAAAAGCTGGGACTCAAGAGTCATATTTGTGTGATTCCAAAGTCCTTGTTCTTGTGGTGTCCCTGACTGCCTCTTCTAGCTGAATACATGCCCTGCCCACTGCAGGCCATTGGTGATTGCCAGCAAGTTGATTCTGGCTCATGGTGGCCCTGTCGGCAGGCAGGCAGATTCATTCGTGAAGATTTTTAATTGGCTTGTTCAGAAATTTTAATTATGTTTTTCCTGATTTAATATTTGTACCTCATCTTATATTTATCACATCTAGTATATTTGAATGTCCAGTCTGCCAGTGTTAGCCTCTAAATACAAGTTGTACTGGTTTTTAAATGGTCTGTTCTTTCAACAGAAAGCCATTGGGTATGGCTTTCCAAATTGTATTTTTCAGTGTGTTTTAGAAAGAAAAAGCAGCTAATTTTTAAAAGCAGATATTCCCAAAGGATGAGGATACACGTCAGAAATAAATAATTTTCATTAAAAATTCTGCTTTTTCTCAAACCTTGTTTTAATTTCGTAGATGGGATAGAAAAGACCAAAGAGCACAGATCCTAACATAATTTCCTTATGCTTCTTAAACCTCTCGGGACCTTTGCCAACACGCACTTCTGACTTGCATAAATACATAATTTTGGAAGATTGAATTCATGAAAATACTGAGTATTTCCTTAATTTGTTCTCTTGTGAATTTACAGCCACAGCCACCTATATTGAGGAAGATGATGTTAATAATTACTCGATCCATGATGTGGTAATGCCCTTACCTGGTTTTGATGTTATCTATCCAAAGCATAAAAGTAAGTTCTATGTGGAAAAAATAAGTTAAAACAAAGTCTAACATAATTAAGCCACTGGCTGCCAAGAATGGAGAGAGGAAAAGTCAGTGCTTTAAATATAATTTTAGAACTTTGCTTTCCATGAGACTAGGAAACTATTTAGATTTTAAACATATATAAACTGGTTATTTTTAAGTCTTGTAAAAGGGGATACATTCAGGGGGATAATTTAAGAAACGAGATAGTAGAGGTGGTGGTGATATTATTTGCTTATTGGTGACATTTTAATTTCTGAGATTTCTTTCCTTCATATGGGGCTGGGGGAAAGTTTTGAAATAGCTGTTGAGAAAAGTGGACAGTAATTTTACTTTACCATTGCTTTTTTAACTTTCTTTTTAAGCCATATAAATAGTAGGGCCTGAAAGTATTTAAAAAGTCAATGGATAAAGAAGTTTATAAAATGAAAAGTTAAAATTCCCCACCTTTATTTCTCATTCCCGGAAACTGTTAGGAATTCTCTTACCTTCATGGATACCATTATAGGGGGCAAACATTGGCACTTTTATTGTTCATGATTCAGAAATTAGAAAAAGAAAGCAGCTCTGACCGATGGAACCAGCCTAGGTGGGCTGCCTGGAAGTCTACGCCTCGTCAGGGCTGGTCTGCCAGTGGCGTTTTCCTTGTTAAAGCTTCTTTTCTAAGGAGGCCTCAATTACTCTACTTGTCAGTGCTGTGCTCCTTGAAAGTTTGCTTGTTTGGGAATGATTAGGATTAATATTCCTTCTCTGATAATTCAAATACCTGTAGAATGGTTAAATAGGAAGTTGTTATTTCCAGGTTGACTAATCACATTGCTGTATTCCTAATACTTACATGAAGTTAACTTCACCAAGTGAAAGGGAATTGAGGGGAAGAGGAGAAAATTGATTAAAAAAGGTAGAGGAGAAGATGTGGTCTGCCTGTGCAGGAGAGCAGGGAAGAACTAGCAAGAAGGAAGGCAAGATGTTAAAAGCCACACTTTACCTCTCTCCAGGAAAGAAAAAGGAAACATTCTTTCTCTTACCTCTCAGGGTAGGAATTGCTACCATTCATGAAAACTTAGTGGCCAAGAAGAGAGCTTATAGACTGGATGGGAGCTAGTTTAGACACGTGGGTATAAAACACAGCCACACCTGGTATTGAACTGTGGTTGATTGAGGGCTCCCTGTTGTCCTAAAAGTATGTGGCAATGAGGTCTTTCCTTGACCCTGCTCTCAGCAACATTTTTTACGAATAATTTGTATAAATAAATCTGTGTATCATATTTGCAAGTACTGCAAAACAGTTAATGTTAACTATATGAAAAATAAGGATCTAAAAAGAACTGCAGAAGGCATTTGATAGAGTTAAATATAAATTCTCATGTTTATGCTCAAAGAGCAAATGTATACATAGAAAAGGTCCAGTTTGTTAGTAATCCATATAAAAAATATCCGGAGTTACTGTTGAACATAAGCCAGTCCCGTGAGGTAAATAGGGGTTTGGTGGGGAATACAGAAATGTCAAAAGAGAGGCAATGGAGGGAACCAGTTTGGTCTAGAAAAGATAGGACTTAAAGTCCAATACCTGTTCATCTGGATGGAAGAGGGCAGAGTTACTCTGATGTGTTCCAAAGCAATCAGCGAAAGCTACAAGAGGACATATTTCAACTTGGTATAAGAACTTCCTAACAGTTGCGTGCCTCACCAAGAAATAAAATCCCCGTAAATGACAGTGTTCAAGCAACGGCTGGCTGACTTTCTCTCTCGAGTGTTATAAAAAAGATTTCTACTTCAGATGCAAGGGTGAACCAGATGGTTTTCCAGGGTCTCTTTATTTTTATACATTTATTTATGACTACTGTCTTCCAGGAAGAGTTTAAACTTCTGTATATGAGCTCTTCTAAATCGGAGCACATAAAAATTACAGTTTAACAACTTCAGATAAAATACCTTTTGTAGCTAGCTTGGGAACCTTACACCATAGCTATTGTGGCTGACTGCAGACAGGCAACTTACAAAGTGGCCAACCCTGAGCTGGTGATATCATCTAGTCTTTGTACTAAGTCACTGAATTTTGATCCTAGAGAATGGACCTTGAATTGTAGATTGGGGTTATTCAAATAAACTTACATTTGTTCTGTTTGTGGTCTAGTTCAGGATAACTTGTTGACACACTTCATTCCAGCTAACTTGGTATGTTTTATTTTAGTTAGTGAAGCCTACAGGGAAATGCTAACAGCAGACAATCTTGATATTGACAACATGAGACACAAAATTCGAGATTACTCGCTATCTGGGGCCTACCGGAAGATCATTATTCGTCCTCAGAATGTCAGCTGGTGAGTGATAGCCTGGGATGAAATAGAAGTGAATTTCTCTTTAAGGCTTTAAGCCTCTGCTTTATATAAATAGTTTTCCCCTTAGAACCTGGCACATCAGTGCTCCGTAAGTGCTGGTTATTATTGCTATTATAGTAGTATTGTCACTACTGCTGCAACGTGGAATTTTCAAATTGTTAAGAAAGAAATGGAGTCATTTTGAATGTGTACAAGTAGTGAAAGTAACTTCGTTTTTATTTTTTATTAACATTAAATTATTGAAGAACTGTGTAGAGAATGAACTCTTTTCCTTATTTCTAAAAACCAGTTTGCTTAGAACTATTCCTGTACATATTACCTTAATCAGAAGTAGCTGTGGGTTCCAAAGACTGATAGGATTGTTTTAATATCATGTTTCCAAAGCAAAAAAGATATCAGTATTAATCCATTTTTAAATGCTTCAATACCTAGTCTTTTCTGAAGCTTCATTTGATAGTTTATAAAAAAGTGAACCTTGAACTAGTTACCAGATTGCCAGAATTGGCACATCAGCATTATGAGAAATTATGTGTCTTTCTCTCACCCTTTTCTCTGGATTATGGGCAAGAGATTGGTAGAATTGGACCTTGCGTTTCCCACTCTTGAAAACAGTACATCATTAATAACAAGATAAAATTAGCATTTCCTCCAGAGTGGTTATCACTGCTAGCAATAATCTAGTAGTGCTAACCATTCTGGAGGAGAAGTTAATTTTATCAAATCTGGGCAAAGTGAAGTTTATTGTTTAGCACTTTATATTAAAAGAATTTCCAGCCTAGAAAAACATTTTGCATTTTTTTATATAGGCTGACATCAATCTGTCTCTTGCTGTATAATAACAAATAAGCAATACTTACAAATAAAATGTGGCTCTCTTCTGTTACTGAATGGTCCTACCCATAATTATTTACAATAGACCTATAGCTCCTTGTTAAATAAATGATGCTAAGCAACTTAGTACCTCTTATGAAAGTTCACATTAAAACAAGACTTAATTATGTGTTTTAAAGGGAAGTCGTTGCATATGATGATCCTAAAATCCCACTGTTCAACACCGATGTGGACAACCTAGAAGGGAAACCACCACCAGTTTTCGCTTCTGGTAAGTTTACCTGGTCCTCTGCTCTGATGGCCCCTTAGCTGTCGGGAAGCTGAAGATGATTGTCTGTAGGCTGGGCTAGCTGGCCCTTGCAGCAAGGTCCCTCAGGAGATCTTGAGGCAGTGCCCACTTCCCAAACAAAGACGGGTAATACTTGTAATGAAGTTGCCAGGAGTCTGTAGGATCCAGGCTTATTACATCATTTATAGGGTTGAGTGTAGAGAGAAATAAGCATCTTCATGAAGACTTGGAAATCCTGAAACCAGGACCCTATGGCTAAGGCTCTCCGTTACTGGGCAGCAGTCAGACCAAGAATCTCCCTCCAACACCTGGGGAGGCGTCCAGCGCACGTTGTCTGAGGCTCTCCCAGAGTCAGAATTTTATTCTGCTTCACAAGCATGCTCTTCTAAAATACAAACAAATGTAAGGAGCTTTAAGAGAGGCTGTTATAAATGATGCAGATTAATTTAATAAGGAGTCTTTCCTTCTGACAAAGTTGGACAGAATTTTTACTTGTGGAAGAATAAAGAGAAGTAAAATAAAAAGGAACTAGAGGAAAAATTGGTGGTCTGTGGATGCAGAACACTCTGAGGTGGAATTCCCCAGGGAGGAGGACTTAGAAGGGCACTTCCTGGGGGGAGGCAGTCGGTACATAAAGACAGTTTGTATAGAAGGTAGAGGCAGAGTGCAGATCCCGTACCTCCTTCAGCATTTTGTGTGATGCCATCCATGCCAGCCTCCGCCCTCACCCCAGCACTTCTCTCCTACTTCTTGCCTAACGTCCTGAGAAGCTGCTATTCTGCACATACGTAATGAGATTGGCAGCTTGCATAAAAATAAACTTGATAAGCCTAGAGGTAGTTTTGGCCACATATGGCCATATCTAAGCGTGGCAAGGGTAGGTGCATTACATTGAGTGGGTCATGATAGCGAGAAATTTAGTCTTAGAGGCATGTTTAAAAGCTGCTTTGCAGACGATAACAACTGGCATATGTTTGAACTGTAGGCATTTTGAGTTGTCGTTGGAGCAATTGAAGGAGGAACATGTGGCAGTCAAATTTAATCCTGTTTCCTCTAAGATTGTCTCTGACAGGGTAGCTAACGGCATTTGCTACTCTAAAGGATTCTGATGAATCAGAATCAAAAAAAAAACCAGTAAGTGAGGGGAACCTTTGAAAAGTAGGCCTTGGCAATGTTAAAGGAAAAAAAAAAAACTTAAGAGACTAAAGATCAGGTGCTGAGTGGACAAGTTTTACTGCCAAGAAGAGAATCTGATCCAGTATAAGGTCTAGGCTCTGCAGGATGAGGTTCGAGGAAGAAGAACTAGGGTAAGACGTGAAACTGCATGAACTGCACCATGTTGGGGAAGTAAAGCCTCTCGAGTGTTGCTGACTGGCAGGGGACCTTGGTGTTGGTCAGGGAGGTGAGCTCTAGGCTGGCCAAAAGTAGTTGGCTGCAACTGTGGGCCCCAGTCTTGCGACTAGGATGTCTAGCTGCCTCTGCTGCCAAGAGAATGTGACAGAGTCAGTATTTTAACATCCAGTAAGGTCTGTACCACTGTCAGAAGACCAAGCAGTTCATTAACAGAACATGGTTATTTCCTGTTTCTTCCCATCTTTGCTGTTTGTTTGCCCCTCCTAGTCAACGAAACCAGCATCTACAAAATGATGCTAGGACTAAGGTCTTCAGAAAAAGATGCAGTTTGACATCCCCCAAGTATACCTCTCCCAGCCTGCTGGAACTGGCACCCTGGGAGACCCGCTAACCACAGCTTTTCTCTGAAGATGTCCCTTTCTTCTTGTGGTACTAAGGAATCATCTACATGATGAGCATGCTCGGAGATTGAAGTCAGCTGATTTTACTTTATGTTTTCTATAATAGCTTTATTGAGAGATAGTTTGCATGCCATACAGTTCACCTATTTAATAGGGACAATTCAGTGGTTTTTAGCATAATCCTAAAGTTACGCAATCATTACCACAATCATTTTAGAACATTTTCATCACCCTAAAAATTAATCCATTCATCAATTCATCGGCATTTGGGTTGTTACCATGTTTTGGCTATTATGAATAATATTGCTATGAACATTTGTGTACAAGTATCTGTGTACATGTATGCTTCCATTTTGAGGATATATGCCTAGGAGTACAGCACACAACAACAACGGTGATGGTAATTTTATGTTTAACCTTTTGAGGAAGTACCAGACTGTTTTCCAAACTGACTATCATTTTACATTTCCACCAGGAATGTGTAAGAGTTCCAGTTTCTCCACATTGTACCAACTCCTGTTATCTGTCTTCTGGTGGATAGGCTAACCATCCTAGTAGAGGTGAAATGGTGTCTCATTGTAGTTTTTATTTCCATTTTTCTGATGGCTAATGATGCTGAGCTCATTGGGCATTTGTGTATCTGCTTTGGAGAAATGTATGTTCAAATTCTTTGAACAACTATATTCCAACTTACAGTTGGATTATTTGTCTTTTATTATTGAATCTAAGAGTTCTTTATATATTCTGAATACAAGGCCCTTATCAGATATGCTTTGCAAATATTTTCTCCCATTCGAGGCTTAAATTTTTTCCTCAATTCTTTCAGCTTGAGAAATGCTGAGTGTGTTCTTCCCTTTTGGTTTTCCAACTCTAGGTCTTTGCACATTTCATTATAGTAATTGGCTTTGTCTGCTCGAGCTGCTCTTTGAAATCTTCTGTTCAGATCTTTTATCTTGTCATTTCTTCTATTTGCTTTAGCTACTTTTTGCAAGTTTCAGAGTCCCTTCTGAAATCCATTTGGTCTTTTCTCTCTTTTTCTTCTTTTTTAGTGACCTCTTGCTCTCTTCGTGGGTGATGCTCTTGATGTCATCCCACATTTCTTCTGGTTTTCGGTCATTGGTGTTTAATGCATCAAATCTATTCTTTAGATGGTCTCTAAATTCAGGAGGGATATATTCAAGGTCATATTTTGGCTCACATGGGCTTTTTTAATTGTCTTTAATTTCAAGTTGAACTTGCATATGAGCAGTTGATGGTCTGTTCCACAATCAGCTCCTGGCCTTGTTTTGGCTGAAGATACTGATCCTTTCCATCTCCTCTTGCCACAGAGGTAGTCGGTCTGATTCCTGTGTACTCCATCTGGTGAAGTCCACATGTATTGCCGCTGTTTCTGTTGTTGAAAAAAGGTATTTCCAATGAATAAATTAAAAAACTTCAGTAAATATTGCATTAAATCAGGAAGTATGAGCCCTCCAACTTAGCTCTTTTTCAAGATTACCCTTGAGATTTTGTATGAATTTTGAGATCAGCTTGTAAATTTCTGCTGTTAACATACCTGATTTTTTTAAAACTATTTTTTCTTGATTAAGCAATAGTTCCTTTGGTAATTTCATCTTCATTACTAGCATAACAGTCTTTGTTTCCTTCCTAAATTTTAGCTCATTATTCTTCAAGCCAGTTAATAACCAGTGTGTTTCTTACCCATTCATTAAATTCCTAAAGCTATTTAGCACATCTTCCCCAAACACTCAGAATGTAAACTTCTCTAAGTAAACTGGCCCACACTTTAGGTTTATGATCACTAGAAGAGCACTTTCTTTATCTTCCTGATCCCACTTGTAATGCCAGGCTTCACTTGGAGAATTCTGAATTGGCAGGACCGACAATAATGAGAACTACTGAAGATGCTTTCTCTGATCCCCATCCCACAACCCACATAGCTTTGTAAATTATAGACGTAATACAGACTTCTGAGTCTGTGTTGCAGTCTGTCACTGACTATCAGCTTCCTGTGCTAAATACAAAACATCTCTGTATCATACTCATATTTCTTCCACACAGCATTCTGCTAGGAAAGAAAGTTTCTTGTTTCTGTGTCAACTTTGAAATGTTTTTACATAAAAAAACATAAGTTAAAAACAAAAACTGCTCTTACAGTCACCACCACCACCACCACCAATCCAGTCCCATGCTTTCTCTTTTGTATCTTGTCACTTTAGTTTCATAATTATAGTTAGAGGTCTATGACTAAAACGATAAATTCCACCGAGAATAAATGAAGGTTGTGGTTGAGGAGTCCCTGGGTGGCCCAAAGGGTTAAATGCTCAACTACTAATCAGGAACTTGGCAGTTTGAACCCACCCCCAGAGGCAGCTTGTAGAAGGACCTGGCAGTGTGCTCCGGAAAGGTTACAGCCATGACAGCTCTGTGAAACAAAACAGTTCTACTCTGCACGCGTGCGGTTGGGATCAACTCGACAACAATTGGTTTGGGTTTTTTTGGTTATAAATGATTGTGATAATAGGTGATTGAAACTTTCCTCCCCACGTCCCTAGAACTAACAAGGGTGAGTGAGAATCCAGGAAGATCTAAAAATTAAACTTTTTTTTTTTTAGGATTTGGGTGAAGATTTACAGAGTAAATTCACTTTTCATACAGCAGTTCACATATATTTTGTCTCATGTCATTGACCAAAATTTACAATGCAGCAGCTCCCCTCCCACTTCCTCCCCATAGTTACCTCCTCCCAGTGTCCATCCCTTCATACTCTTCTGCACCCTGAGCTATCTCCCTGTGCATAAGCAGCCCTTCCTTCTCCCATGATTGTTCTCTCCAGGGCATGTGTCTACTTGAGGTAAATGTTTAAATCACATGCCTGTACTTTGTTTGGCTGGAAACCACAGTTGTGGGTTCAATTCCAGACCTGAAGGGCAGCTAGGGACCATAGTCTCAGTGGTTACACCAGGCTCTATTGGACCAGCAAACCTGGTCCCCACCTTCTTTTTCTAAAAATTAAACTTGCATTCTCATCATCTATTTTCCCTTATACCCTAATTTTTTTTTTTTTCCTTTTTAGTTCCTTTTACATGCATTTCTCTCTTGCGCTCTTCTGTTGTGCACCCTTTCTGTGAAGGTTCCCGGGTGGGTTTACCGTAGACGCTCAGCTGGGTCGCGCACTCACAGATCTGCCCCGGTGGTCTCATTCTCTGAGGGAAGTGGCGGCCGGAGGAGAGAAGCGCAGTTGTTTGTATTTGTATGGAGATTGTAGGACTCCCCCCCATCCGCAGCTGCTTTCGTTTTTCTGACTGTTCTCTTCTTTCTCGCCTAGCAGAAGGCAAATACAAGGCTCTGAAGATGGATTTTTCACTTCCTCCTTCTACATACGCTACCATGGCCATCCGAGAAGTGCTAAAAATGGACACCAGCATCAAGAACCAGACCCAGCTGAACACAGCTTGGCTCCGCTGAGCACCTTGCCCACAAATGAGAAAACACACAGAAGTAGTGCTTTTCGGCTTCCTGTTCATCGTTCTCTTAGTACAGACCCATACGTGGATTCTGAATCTTTGGAGTAAAAGATTATTTGTATTTTTTCCACTTTTTATTAGCTTAAATCAATAATTTGCAATGTTTGTACACATTCAAATCCCGAAGAGCCTAATTCTAGCTCAGAGAATGTAAAATTGATCAGAATATATTTCAGGTGCTTCAATGATGGTAAAATGTCAGCTTGAGTGCTCTGTAATAATAAGAAAGGACTTTGGTTTACAGTCACAATTTTAGGTGTGTGCTGCATTCTTGAAGGACAACACGTTTTTAATACACTGATGAATGGCATATACAGCAATGCATTCTAAGATAAGGTCAACAAAACAAATCTTGACTATGAATAGTTTGAGAGCTCCTGACTAAACATAAATACAGTACTCATGCTTATTTAAGTGATAATAAAACATCTTCAGGTTTATAAACACAGAGGTGATTGTCATTATCTAGCTCATATACCTGTACCTGGTTCAGGTAAGCATTTATGGACATTTTAGTTACAATAGCTTTCACACTTATATTACTGCTTTGCACGAGAGTTGCACTGATAGGGCTTTTTTTCTTGATGTAAACATTTGACACTATTTTTATTAGTTAAGATCGGATTTATACTCCGGGTGCCTTTTATGTTAATGACTCTTTCCACTATACTGATATTTGCCCAAAAATAAATAATGGCAGAGAACAAAACTTTAAAAATGTACAAGGGCTCCTCCTAGCAGCTGCTATACCCTGTGTCACCAACAGCTTAGGTATTTCCATTCCAGGCATTGCGTAAAACTTTCCACTGAGGTGAATGGATAAATACGCCTTTCTAAAGTTACGTGACATAATTTTACCAATTGTTATTTTCTATCATTTCTAGAACCAAATATAATAAATATTTTTTAAAATTCCTCTCTACTGGTTATGTTCATAAATCAGATACCTAAAACAATGCAAATGAGAATCTTGCCTTAACTAAAGGCAGGAGGCTGAAGAGAATGAGGAAGCCTGTGAATAGTGTTGATACAAAGGAGGGTCATGATCCAGCATGAGATACCATGCAGACACTATAATGGTTCATCACGTTTTATGAATAATGTACTGTGTGCGACTGGATTCAAGATTGTCCTTCCAATAGCATCACTCGCTTGCCTTCCAGCATGCTTTCTGCAGTGGAAAAGAAGGGGAAGGAGAAAAGTTACATACCAGGAACGTGCCACCATCAGAGTGTGAGTGATACCTGCCCCGTATCTGGCAGCGGGAACAAGACAGAACTGGTTTTCAGCTTTCATTTTAATGGTGTCCACCATACTGCTGAGGGTAAAGAAAAGATTAAAAATATCATAATAAACTACCTTTTTAGGTGGCTAATACCCAAAGAATCTCTTGGCCCAGAAAGGCCAAATTTATTATCTATGTAATGGTCCTGTCTGTACATTCCAGTAATAACAAGTTATTACTCTTTCATCAGACTGATCTGTTGTAATTGTTGTTATGTGCCATCGAGTCAGCCCCAACTCATAGTGACCCCTCCTTGGGTTGCCGAGGCAGTATCACTACAGAAGTAGATTGCCCAACCTTCCTTCCGAGGAGTGGCTGGTGGGTTTGAACTGCCAGCCTTCTGGTGAGCAGTCAGGTGCCTTAGGCACTATGCTACCAGAATCTAAAGTATTTATTAAGGGGACCTCAGTCTGCCTATTGCAAGTGTATTCAGTAGTTTCGCATTTAAAAACTTATATTCAGAAATTCTGACTTCTTCAGATGAGCAGAAATTAAGGGAATTTGTTAGAACCAGACCAACCTTACAAGAGATGCTAAAGGGAGTCCTTTGGACAGTGAAGCAGCAACAGCAAACAACAACTGACGGTTAACACACATGATAACATAACCCAGAAACCAACCCAGCAATGAAAGTATCCAAAAGAAATAAGCCCCCAAGATTGTAAACAGGGAACCAGAGACATCAGTTGACAAATGAGGACAACTACAAACCAAAAAGAAAAAACTGTCATTACAGACAGAACTTCTAGATGATAGGGAAGTCAAGACAACTACAGGATAGAACAGACTGTTCTAAACTTGAGAAGAAAACTATAAATCACAGGGTAACCTCAAAGAACAATAATAAACCTTCACATCAAAATAAAAAGGAGGACCAGCACATAGCAAATACTAAAACAATAGCAATGAAAGAAGTGATAACACGATTCATAAACAAAATGAACTGAGCACAGAAAATCATATGGAACAAATCAACACCATGAAAAAGCACGTAACAAAAATGACAGCAACAAATTCATACTTGTTGATAGTCACATACCTTGCAAGGGACTTATCACTAAGATTTATAGAAAACTACAACACCTCAACAGCAAAGGAATTAACAGTCCATCTGAAAAATGGGCAGAAGACATGAATAGACACTTCACCAAGAAGGATATTCAGGTGGCCAGCAAATACATGAAGAGATGCTCACGATCATTGGCCATCAGAGAGATGCAAATCAAAACAACGATGAGATACCATCTCACCCCAGCACTGATGGCAAGGTCCAACAAGACAAATGCTGGCGGGGATGTGGAGAGATTGGGACTCTGATAGATTGCTGGTGGGACTGTGAAGTGATAAAACCACTGTGGAAAGCATTTGATCCAGCAGTCCATTACTAGGTATATATCCTAGAGAGGTAAGAGCCAGGACAGGAACAGATATTTGCACACCCATGTTCATTGCAGCACTATTTACAATAGCATAAAGATGAAAACAACCTAGGTGCCCATTGAAAGAGTGGATGACCAAACTATGGTACATACACATAATGGAATGCTATGCAGCACTAAAGAATAATGTAGAGTCTGCAAAACCCTGCATAACATGGATGAACTTGGAGGACATTATGCTGAGTGAAATAAGTCAGTCACAAAAGGACAAATATAGTATTAGTTAGCTGTTGTGGAGGGTCAAGGAAAGGTTTATATATGGAGGGAAACTTTGTTGGTTGCTAGGGGTGAGAGGGAATGGGAGGGAACACTGCCAAAAAAAACATGCGTTGACCTGTGTCACTTTAGTTTTGTGTATTTCACTGTACATAAATTATATTTCAATGAAATGCATTAAAAAAAAACATTCAAAATGAAAAATGAGGGTAAATTTACACACATTTTCTCCACCTGGGAAACACTTAGGGCTCCATGGGATGAGTTAGTTGTCCTGGCTGCAGTAGCCAACAACCAGGTTGTACAGGTCCTTTCTGAAGAACCCGTGGAAAAAAAGTGGTTCAAAGCATATTCTTAGAGCCGGTTTGAAACTGAGGACATACCATTTAACTCTAGGGACTCAGTTCACTAGGAATAAATCATTACCTTAGCATAAACACATTTTGTTGTTAACAAACGGGGGGAAGTTCCTCTCAGGCGGATTTACAAAACCTGCAAGCAATCTCTTCAACATAAAACTGTCATTGTTTAAATATTTGCCTAACAGAAAAAGGATCATTATTTCTCATAATATTAAACCAGAACTATCTATTAATGGAAATGTAAAGAGTGAAGCTATTACTATCAAATATTTTTATTCATGGTTTCGTGTTGTAGATAATAGATAGCCACCGTACTAATAAAGGAGCTCTGGTAGCACAGTGCCTAAGGCATCTGACTGCTAACCAGAATGTTGGTGGTTCAAACCCGCCATCCACTCCACAAAAGGAAGACTGGGCAGTCTACTTGCATAAAGATTTACCACCTTGAAAACCCAAAGGGGATAGCTGTGAGTCTGAATTGACTCGATGGCAGTGAGTTTGGTTTGGTTTTACTAATAAAAATATTTTCCTGGTTGGTTCTTGAAATCAACCAAAAAATTGATAGCCGCTACAATGGTACATCAGTACTTGCAGCTTACCCGGTTGCTCCAGGTAGGACAAATTAGCACAAACTCCTGTTTGCACTGGAG